TTACTCACTGAGCCACAGGCGCAGCCCCATGAGGACATTCTTATCTACCCTGTAGCCAGTTAGTCTCAGATGGGGACATGAAGCTCCAGATGGCACAGAGAAGTATCTTGTCTGGTTTTTTTTTTTGAGACAGAGTCTCCAGCTATTGCCCTGGGTAGAGTACCATGGTGTCAGAGCTCCCAGCAACCTCCAACTCTTGGGCTTAAGTGATTCTCTTGCCTCACTCTCCCAAGTAGCTGGGACTACAGGTGCCCCTACAATGCCTGGCTATTTTTTGTTGCAGTTGTCATTGTTGTTTAGCTTGTCCGGGACAGGTTCGAACTCACCAGTGTTGGTGTATGTGGCTGGCACTATAACCACTGTGCTACAGGCGCCAAGCCTCTTGTCTGTTTTTTAGATGAAGAAATTTAGGCTTTGATTTGTTCTCTAAATATAGTTTTGTCTTCATTGCAAAAATTTGGATTGATGCTTTGCCTTACAGCATTTCAAATTTCTTTTATTTATTTATTTATTTATTTGCAGTTTTTGGCCAGGGCTGGGTTTGAACCTGCCACCTCCAGCATGTGGGGCTGGCGCCCTACTCCTTTGAGCTACAGGCACCACCCCATTTCAAATTTCTTAACAAAGCAGCAATATTAAAGAAAAAATCCAGGGTGGCACCTGTGGCTCAGTGAGTAGGGCGCCGGCCCCATATACTGCGGGTGGAGGGTTTGCGCTCAGCCCCAGCCAAACTGCAACAAAAAAAATAGCCAGGAGTTGTGGCAGGCCCCTGTAGTCCCAGCTACTCGGAAGGCTGTGGCAAGAGAATCACTTAAACCCAAGAGTTTGAGGTTCCTGTGAGCTGTGATGCCACAGCACTCTACCTAAGCCCAAGAGCTGGAGGTTGCTGTGAGCTGTGACATCACAACACTCTACCAAGAGGGACAAAGTGATACTCTGTCTCTTAAAAAAAAAAATCCAATTAGTGGAAGTCATATTTTTTTTTATTTTTATTTTTTGCAATTTTTGGCTGGGCCTGGGTTTGAACCCACCACCTCCAGCATATAGGGTTGGCACCCTATGCCTTTGAGCCATAGGCACTGCCCTGGAAATCATAGTTTTGGACACATTAAATATTTGGTTTATCCTCTCTGGAATTATAATTCATAGGCTTTGTGGCAGCTTATTGTTTCTTATTGTTACAACTTCGGCTTTATTTTTTACTAAAACCTTAAGAATATTCTACACACTTTTTTTTTGAAACATAATCTCAGTCTATTGCTCAGGCTACAGTGCCATGGCATCCGCCTAACTCCCAGCAACTTCAAACTACTAAGTTCAAGTGATCCTCCTGCCTCAGCTTCCCTCTGTTGTTCAGCCCAAGTAGCTGGAATTGCAGATGTCTGTGACATGCCTGACTCATTTTTTAACTCTGAAATAGTTTCATAATTTTGATGTGGTCAAATCTCCCAACAGCAATACCTTCTCTTGTGTCTTTCTCTCTAATGTCACCAATAGATTAAGCCCTTTTCTGTCTCAAAATCAGGACTGTGAGCTCTGCCTCATCTCTTAGCTGGTAATAATTTAGGATCACTTAGCACCTCTAACATCTTTTTTTTTTTTTTTTTTTTGAGACAGAGTCTCACTATGTCACCCTTGGTAGAGTGCTATGGTGTCACAGCTCACAGCAACCT